GCCCTGCAAACACCAAAGTCACACGTGCCGTCAGCACGGAAGGCCGGCACGGGGGTCCACGCAGCCAGGCTGCCAGCATCAGGGGAGGCCCCTGGCCCGGGAGGGGCAGGCACGGCCGGGGCTCGTCCACAGCGGACCACCGAGAGGCCCGCACACAGAGCCCCCAGGAGGCGGCCCCAGCACGGGTCTGGGGGTGTCTGGGGGGATGAGTCACGCTCTCCTCGCCAGCTGAACGGTTGGGATTTGCCTTTTCTGGTCGTATATTCTGTCTCGGTTTTTTAAAAGTTTGAAAAAAACAGTAGCATAAAAGTTTTCAAATGAACAGTTAAAAATTACACTCACTACCCCTTTTTAAATCTGTGTAAGTGTAAGCTTGCAAGCTGTGCCTGTGAGTGTACACGTACACACGTATGTACATCAAGTGCCAAATGTGCACATGTCACCTTGAGCGTCTCAACGTGACTGGGCTCGGCGGCCCCACGTGGGGGGCACACGCTCGCTCTCAGGGCTACACTGCCACTGTGTACACACGGCAGCAGACAAACCTGCTTGGCTACAGAGGACAGAACCCCTCAAGTTCACCTCAAAGCCGGGCTCAGTGAGATGCTGCTACCCTGCCTCCAGGAGGCAGAGGCCGCACTTCCCAGCTGGGCCCTTTATCTTGAGTAAGCGGTGGGGCCCGTCCTCCAAACCCGGCTGATCCCAGAGCAGAAAGGGCAAAACAGGACACAGCAGTGCTGCCCACAAAGTGGGCCCCGGCCAACGCCGCCTCCCCTTCTCCCCTCCCCGCCGAGCAGGGAAGGCCCCACCGCCCTTTGGGGGTCCCGGGCGAGACTGGGCTCTCTGCGTCGCCTCCAGAGGCATCGCTCCTTCTCTCCTGATCCACCCAGACGCCCTCAAGCTCTTCCCTGGCCGTAGGAGCAACGCAGGGTGTGATGGCGGCGTCCCCCCAGCTCTGCCGGTCAACCGGCCTCAGCTTCCGTCTGGACCAATGAGAGGCCTCAGTCTTCATGAACTCAAGTTTTCCAGAAAGTCCAGGGATTTCTGCTTCAGCGAAAAAGACGCTCTGCTGGCCACTCAGCAAGACCAAGGTGGCGAGGATCCTCCGTCCAGGCAGCAATTCAGAAGTGTGGCCTCAAGCTGGGCCTGGGTGGTCACAGGGGCCCAGGCGAGGGTCCCAGGGCCGCCCCCCCCACCGCCCGGGATGCGCTTCTTGTCCATCAAGGAGATGGGCCTGCCCCTCCTCCCCCTCCCACCAGGACCCCACCAGTGGTCCGCTCTCTCGCTTCAGGACAAGGTCGGCCTCACCACCTCCCATCCCTGTGAGAGTCTCCCCCACATTCCCAACCAAACTTTGGATGAAGACTACTGCTGTGGTGTCGGGGGCACCGGCCAGCCCCCCACAGATGGCAAGGTGGTCAGCCAGGATGGATTCCAGGCAATTCTGCTGGTTCCTGAAGGAAAACCATCTGGGGGGTACAGCTGAGCACCCACACTTTTCAGGAACCTGCTCTAAACCTGAACCTGCTCTGTGGTTCCAACGCATTCTTCAAACCCCAGGACATCAGGGTCCAACCTTACCAAGATCCAGGCACAAACATTTACTTTGCAGAACCCACACGTTTTATTCTAGCTCCGGACTTTATTTCTGCAGATCCTTTAAGGAACGTGCATGGGACGTGGGGACGGGGCACCTGGGCTCTTCCTGGACCAGCCCCTGAACTGGAAGCTACAGATCCACTGCATCAAAGGCTCACAGCCGCCCCAGGGTCCAGGACGTGGGTGTGAGGCCGGAGGGACGCCGCGGGCCTGGCCTGTATCCATAACACGCCTGACATCTTAATGCTGGTTCCCACGGGCGATCATACAAACAGGCTGCAACTTGGAGGTAAATTTCAATGGGTGTTTTCTTGGAAGCTGCTGGGTTAGCCTGCACTTGGCCGTCTGCTTGGAAAAGTCAATCCAAAACCAACAGGCCCCCAGCCCCCAAGGCCGAGGTGGGAACACAGGGGGACAGGGCACGGACCCACTGCAGTGCTGGGCATCTGAGCATCTTCCCAAGCACCATGAGTGACCTGCAGGAATTGCCTGACACATTCCTTTGGAAAAGGGTCTTTTCTCTTATAAATGGGATGAGAATGAAAAAATGCTCTTCTCTAAGATGTAATAAATCTTTAATGAAAGCAAACTGACATCCATTGGGGATCACAATTTATGCTTCCAAACCCCAGCCCAGGGCCAGAGCGGAGGAATACATGGCCACCGTGACGGGCAGAGACGTCCCACGCGAGCCCACACCTCATGTCCTTGTCTTAGCAACTCGGGGTAATCTCGCAGTTGCCTTGGTAACCCGAGGGATTTAAGACATTAGCAGAAGTACACACAGCCGAAGTCACTTGTTGGATCCTAAAAACACCTTCTGCTCGACAACTGCATTTAAAACATCAAACCTACGGGCGGGGGAAGCCTCCGTGCTCTTCACACGTTGATGGACTCGCAAACCTAATGGCCTCCAGCACCGCGGCAGGTGCAGGTCAGGAGGGGAAGTCTCTGCGGCCCCAGAACGTTCCGTGAGTCGTCCTGGTGGACGCTGCTCTGCAAGCTTTAGACTAAGCTGGTGAAAGACCATGAACAAGGGGACAGACACAGGCGAGCACTGTGCCCACCGCTAGCAGGGAGACAGGTGGCCAAACTCCAACAGTCCTGAGGGCCGCCCGTCGGGACGTTCACCACGTCCCAGCCAGGGGCGGGCAGCTGCGCAGGGCCCAGGGCACCGCCTAGCACGCAGTGACTCCACCGAGGCATAGGCCCTGGCTAAACTCACTTGGCTCGAATCCCCGGGAGCCCGGCCCAGTGCTCGGGGCTGGAAACACACAGCAACAACGGGCGTGAGAACGAGTGAGCAAGGCCACAGGGTGTCTGCGGAGCTGCTGTTGAATGGATAGAGTTTCAGCTTGGGGTGACGAGACAGTTCTGGAGAGTGATTGTGGTCTCGTACTTAATGCCAGCGCACCTAAAGTCTACGATGTGTGTACTTTACCACGACAGTAGAGCCAGTGTACCCTCCCTGGCTCAGGACCCCAGCGGCTGGCTAGCGCAGGCCACCCTGGGCCACCCGAGCACAGGCTTAGCATTTGGGACGTTTTTCAGGGCTTGTGCCCCACACTTTGCTGCCTTCTGTCCACCTCTGTCCACGCACAAGTGCCCACTGATTTCTAACCTTCTTCCTGGAGGGGGCTCCCCAGTGTGGGCACTTGTTCAACACCACTGAGCCGGACACCAACCCCTGTTCCACCATCGCCCCCCCACCCAACGCAGCCCTCTGGCCCCGTCTGCCCCTCGGACGGAAAAGCTTGGCGTGGAGGCACCAGGAAAAGCACCTGGCGTTCAGTAAACGTTCAACTTGTTTACTAGTCTGGGAGACACATGAAGCTGTCTGCGGGGGTGAGGACACGACCATCAAAGCTAAGCTTAGAGCCCTGGCACCTGACAGACTCGGGGTCCGGGAGAGGCTCCCACCACTGCAAGAAGAAAACACATCGTCTCAGCGTCACGCGTGACACTAGTCATGCAGCGAGGAAGCGCCCCCCGCTGGGAGGGGGCGCTGTGGCCACAAGCCTTCGAGCCCCTCAGGACGGGACGGATCACGGGCACAATGAGGCCCGAAGGACACGCCGCGGCGCCAGCCCAGGACTGGGCCACACGGCTGCCGTCCTGCCCTTCACCCAGAGCCCGACACCTGATGCTCGCTCCTCTTTTTCACATGTTAACGTTTCAGTCTTTAAAAAGTAAGTTACCCAACTAGCGCTCCCGGGAGACCCCTGCACGGCGGAAAGCAGACCCCACACCCGCTGGGCTCCTTCCAGGCATCACCCCACTTGTCTGGCTGCAGACCCCACGGCCTCAGAAAAGCCCCACCCAGGCGGCCTCTGTGTGCTGGTGGCACTGTCACTGCACGGACAGGGACACCAGGGAGTCACCGCAGCTGCTGGGACACAGTGGCCGCATTCCCTGCTCTCACACCAATTTACTACAAGAGGAGGTGAGCCCCCGGAAGCCCCCAGTGTGAGCCCGGAAAGGGGCCACTTTATGTATGGAGCGAGAGGCCACGGGGCCACCGACAAACAGTGCCCTACGGCGCCCCAGCCCCGCCAGGGACAAACAAAGGGCTTACTTGAGTCGCGGCTGCTGAACGGCCACCCGGATGTCGGGAGGAAAGACGGCACTGGGGAGCCGGCCCGGCTGTCGGCCTCCACCTGCTGCGTGATGTGGCGAACTGTCTCTTTGTTTTTCCGATTCTTTCTTCGGCCTGTGGGCTGCCAGCCATCCGCCCCGACCTGCTCTGAGAACGAGTTCTGGACGGCAGTGTCCCTGGAGGAGGGCAGCTCGCCACCCCCATAGTGAGATGGTGAGACCTGCTCCTCCTTGATCCGCAGAGGCCCGTAGCCCACATCGCCAGGCCACAGCGGCTGCAAGGACAGGTCGTCGGGGCCATCGGCCTTGGGCTCCTGGTCCTCCTTCCCATAGCTGCTTCCGCCTTCATGGCAGCTGGCGATGGCCGAGTCTCCAGAAGAATTGGCGGGGCTCGTGCGCCGAGCCAGCCACGGGGAAATGCTCCTCCCGGCCATCACGGCTGAGATCAGTGCGTCCGCGCTGCTGCCAGACGGGGCGCCGATCTCGAGCTCCGAGAGCTCGTCTGAGGCGTCCGGCTTGATGCTGATGTCCAGCGCGGCCTTGATGAAGTCGTGGCACGCCTGCACGATGTCCGTCATCTGCAGGAAGCTGGCGGCGGACATCACCTCGATGACGTTGCGGCTGGTGAGGGCCAGGTGGGCGGAGTACATGAAGTCGATGATGGCCTTGAAGCCCTGGGCTGTGACGATGTCCAGGTGCGTGACGGTGGCCTGCTCGGACGTCTTCTGCACCTGGCAGTACAGCGTCTTGAAGTAGCGGCTGCTGCCCAGCAGGACGTTCTTGTGGGCCTTGAAGACCTTGCCCTCGACCACCACGCACACGTCGCACAGGACGCCGTGCTGCCTCTGCTCGTTGAGCTCGCGGAGCAGGTGCCGGTAGTGGGACGCGATTTCCATGTCTTCCTTTCGGTTGTTCATTTGGAAGTGCTGGTGCGGCCTCCTCTACGGACTCTGCGGGGGCGAGAACAAAAGAGTTACCCACGCTGTCGACACCCGAGCCAGGCAGAGTTGGGCCACATTTGCGGGGACGGAGGGTGACGGCGGCAGAGTGCCTGGCAGGGCGGGGCAGCCAGCGAGCCGATCGAGGCTCACCCCCGTCATAATGGACACAGGGCCCTGAGCAGAGTCCTGCACACTGCAGCTGACCCTCAGAGCAATAAGCAAATACTCAGAAAGACGGGAAACGCCAACACTTCAAGCACTTGAAGCGAGTTTCTTACCCAAACAGAAAATCTAGGTTAAGTAATCCAAGTGCGCCTTCATCCCTCACCCGTGGAGAAGTGTCCTTTCAAAGTGCAGGCAGGGGAGAGTACAGTTCAGTGGTGGAGGGCGTGCTTAGCGTGCACGAGGTCCTGGGTTCAATCCCAGCAGCTCCACTAAGCACATACATAAATACACTTAATTATCCCCCCCCTAAAAAAGACCAACAAAAAGAAAACAAAACAAAAATGCAACAACAAAAAACACAGCGACAACTTCCTACACAAACAAAATCCGCAGAACAGAGCAGTAAAGGCCGAAAGCAGACGTTCACAGCCTCAGCCCCGCAAACTTCCAAACCCAACCAGCCCCAGAGGCAGGAGGCCGGCTCCCCTGCTGACCTGGCCCCTGCGGAGAGGGGGCCCACAACCAGCTCAGCCCCCAGGAGGGCTTCGGGTGTGGGGAAGGTGCCCCAGGAGACCGGAAGCGCCCCAGTCATTTCTGGAGCTGGGGCTCCCCCTGCAGTGCTCTCCCTGCCCCGCTCCTCACGTCTCCCTCGTTCCCCAGGGTCTCCTGGGGCTGCTGAACACAGGGCCACAGTCTGGGGGCTGAAGAGCAGGGCATTTCTACCACCCCGTCTGGGGGCCGGGGCAGGGTGTCAGTGGGGTTCTCTGAAGGCTCCTGGGAGGATGTGTCCTGGGCCCGGATCAGCTTCGGCCAGTGGCCAGCAATCCTCGGTGTCCTTGGTGTGTAGAGCCGTCACCCCATCTCTGCCTCGGCTGTCACACAGCCACCACCATCTCCTCCTACTAGGACACCAGTGGTCAGGTTGGACAAGGTCCACCCTATTCTAGTGTAACCTTATCTTAACTAATTACATCAAACTTGGTCACATTCTGAGGCACTGGGGGTTAGGGCTTCAATATACAAATTCTGGGGGAGACACTCACCTGAGAAAGACAGTTGTTAGTCTGACTGTCCTGTTAAACAGACCATCTTCCAGTTGATCTGTCAGCGTTCACCCCAGACGCCAAAATGCATTCAATTCTGAGAAAACTAACCTGGTCCAGGGTGGGGTGTCCATCTGTCTTTCCCTCTGCGGGTGGGGTTGGGGGGGGCCTCTTCATTTGTGCAACACCTTCCCTGATTTTATTTATTTATTTATTTATTTCTGGGCTGGGGGGATTGGGTTTGTTTGTTTATGTTTTAAGTGGCAGTGCTGGCGACCTCACGCACACCACGCGCACTCCAGCACTGAACTATAACCCCCTTCTGCAACACCCTCCTTTAGACTTTACAACACAGGTTCTCAAACGTCACCTGAGATCACCTGAAAACGCCCAGCGACAGAAGCACTTACTCTGTCCACACTCCACGGGCTGGGAAAAAGAGGCAGGAGAGGGTGGAAGCCTCTCGTCCCCTCGTCTCCCCTGACGGCCCACCCGGCACCGTCCCTGCCATCCCCCCAGTCACCCCCCTTCCTGCGGCCACGGCCGAGAACAGAGACCCTGGCCCCAAGCAGCCACCAGACTCGAAACCCAAAGTAAACACGCTGCTTAGCTCGTGGGTCAGCCTTTCGGTCCCAGCAGTGCGTCCTGACCCCAAGGACGGCCCCTGAGGAGGACAAATATGAAGAACGTTAAGAACTGCGGCTGCAGGGCTTGGGGGCTGGAGGCTCGCACACACCCAGGGTCTGACTGTGGGTGCCTCCGGGCTCTGCCCCTCCCCCCCGCGCGTGGGAGGCGGGCAGGAGGACAGAAGCCCGTCCGGTGCAGTGTCACACCTCACGCCTGGCGTTGCAGACTCAGGTTCACTAGACACTACGGGAGGCACCAAAACAAGTGCCAAATTGCGGAAACCAACCATTTAAACTCAAGGCGTCTGTTTAATGCCCAGCATCCACAAGAAGCTCTCGGTCGTGTGTGTGCAGCCAAGTGTCAGAAGCCTCAGGCAGCCTGTATTCAAACTAGAAGACACATGCTTCACTATCTGACTTCCTATATGAGTAATAAGTGTCCTTACTCACCAGTGAAACAGACCCGCTAAGAGTTCGGAAGAATACCGAAAAGGGGAAAACGCAAGCTCCGTTTTGGAGAAGCAAGAACTGCCTCCCAAGGCTTGCATTTCTCAGATAATCTCCACCTGTATGGAAAGTTCTAAAACGGTGGGGGGAGGGCACAGACGCAGTTCAGTGGCGGCACGTGCGCTTATCTTGGCCGCAGCCCTGTTTCAGTTCCCCGCACCGCCATTAAATATAAATAAATAAGCACAATCACCTCCCTCTCCCCCCAAAAATGAACCAATGATAATCCAAGATTAGTGGAAATGTTAAAGATACACATAATTCATCCAAGCCCAGGGAAGCCCTAGGAGAATAACAGTCCACAATCTCCCTGCATCAGTAAGAGGGTGAGAGGGTCGCGGGGTCCTGCCCGTCTGACCAGCGGGAGAGCGGCAGGCTGCCCAGTGCTTTTCGGCAGCTGAGCCTTTCGCATCTTAATGGCCTGACAAGGAAGACTAAAGCACGTGCACCACGGTTCTTCTTTGAGAAGGTGGCAGAGCATCTGCCCTGCCCTGGTGGAGGTGCCGCCTGACGGAGACGCACCTGGCTGGGGGACCCACGCCTGAGCACCGTCATCTCTGAGCTGCCTGCACTGCCGTGCAGATCACAGGGCACCTTCATGCACTCACAAGTCCCGTGGACACCCCGTGGGTAAGGGACCCTCAGGGAGCAGCCTGCGATCCTGAAGAGACTCAGGTGCCACGTCGCCGTAAGGCGAGGAGCTGAGGCCGGGCCCCCGCAACCCTGGGGCACAAGGCGCACAGTTCTGCAGGGTCACCCGGGGGGAGGGCGGGCTCTGCTGTCCCCCTAAAGAAGCCACACTTAGAGCACGGAACTGCTTGGCAAACCTCCTCTCTGCGGGGTGGCGTGCCCCGAGGACCCCCCTCGTCCACCACCTCCCAGCTGGATGGCAGACACTGAGCAGGCGGCCTGGCTGTGTCCTCAAAAGTTGAACAAACCCACATGACCCAACCATTCCAACGTGCCCTGCCTGGGAGGTGAAAACACGGGTCCACCTGAGGACTCACACGGTCACAGCAGCTTCAGTCACCACAGTCAAAATTTGGAAACGACCAAATGTGCGTCAGCAGGTGAGCAGACAAACAAAGGAGAATCATCCCAAAGGTGGGTCGGGCTTGTGGGGACCTGGTGCCTCCTCGCCCCCCTGCGCCGCACTCTGCGGGCCTAAACATCCTTACCACGCAGACACGCAGACACGGGTGAGTCCCAAAATAACCCCTCGGCGGGAACGCAGAGACAAAGGGACAGGGTATGAGTCCCTCCTTATGAAACATTAGAAAATGCCAAGTGCTCAACGGGGACGGGGCAGAGGCAGGCCAGTGGGCGGCCTGGGGACAGCGAGGGGTGGGTCCCCAGGGCTCAGGGAGTCCCCGGGCAGGGACACGTTTCACAGGTGTGTGCAAACCCGTCGAATTACACCCTCCCAATGGGGGCGGCTGTTGTGGGTAAATCACATCCAATGACGCGGGTCAGAACTTGAATTTGCAGGAATATTCTTGTTGACCATAGACCTGTGTGCGCTTGCTGCCATTTGCTGTGGATTGAACCTTGTCCCCAAAACTCACTTGCTGGAGTCAGTCCCCAGGACTTCAGCATGTAACGTTATGTGGAAACCAGGTCCATACAGACGTCATTAGCTAAGATGAGGTCACTAGGGTGGGCCCTAATCCAAAGTGACTGGTGTCCTTCTACGAAGGGGATACTGGGACACAAACACTTCGCAGGGGGGCGGCCGTGTGAAGACGGAGTGATGCAGCCACAGCCAAGCAAGCAGCAGCGCTGCAGAGGCGTCTGGGACAGACCCTTCCTGCCAAGGGGCCCTCCATCTCGGACTCCTGGCCCCCAGGGCTGGGGGGCGTCTCTGCTGTTTAAGACGTCAGCCCAGGGTTCTGTCAGGCAGCCCAGGGCGTCCACAACATTCTGCTCCACCACGGAAAGCCCCGAGCCAGCGGGGTAGTTCACAGAACTCCCCTCCTCTGCTGACCCCATGTGTCCCACAGGCAGAGCCCAGGCAGCCCTGAGGCCCTCACCGCGGGGACACTGGTTCGCTCCAAGGTTTACTATCTTCTGAGAAAACGAAGGTTACGACGCCAATTATGCAAGATCATGACATAAACCACCCTTCATAGTCGTTACTTTATCACTGTTCATGGTTGCATTTTAAGATTTAAAGACGAGCCCCTGACTGGAAAGAAACACTCCGCACTTGTTAACAGAAGGCATCCTCAGGTGCCAGACAGAATGGAGCGGGCACTGCCCGAGGTTTCTGGCTGACCACAACTGACGCCTCGGATGCCGGAGACCAGCCCGACCTCTGAATGCAAACCTGGGGCGCCACAGCTCTCCTCGGGCCACCTGCCGGCCCCCTCCACAGCCCCCTCCCTGACGCCCCACCACAGCTCCCTCCTCCACCCCTCCCCGGGCCCCTCCCTACCCCCACCCCCGTGACCCTCCCTCTTCCCTGCTGCTGCTGCTTTCAGTTCCTTCACCTCCATTGGGCCTGGAGCACCCCCACCTCCTACCCCAGCCTTTCCTACCTGTGCAAATGTCACTTCCTCTCTTGGGCACACCCCCCTGACCACATAGAGCCAGACATGTGCTGTGACCTCAGGGCCCCCCTTCCAAGACGGTCAGGGCGCTGTCCCCTCCCTGCCAGCCTGCCTCACGTCCCTTGGCTCTCACAGCAGAATTCCAAGCCTTAACCCTTACCCGTTAGCCCCAGTCAGTTCACCTATGGCCCCGATGTGTGAGCAGGAGCCTAGAACTGTGCTGCGCACTAGGCCCAGGTCAAAGGGCCCCATTCCATCGCCAGACAGGGCTCCCAGGAGGCCAGAGCCAGAGCCCCACAGGGTGCGCTGAGGGCCTCAGAGAGGGGCTGGGGTGGGGGCACCTTCCCAGAGCAGGGGACGAGCCAGTCAGGCCAAGCAAATGGGGGCTTGAGGGCCAGGAGAGGGCCCTAGGAGGGAGCAGCACGCATTCAGAAGGCGGCACTGGCTTCCAAACAAGGCCTCCTGGAGCCACCATCTCCGGGTTCAGGGCCCTGGGTAGCCCCCTCCCAAGCTGACCCTGGCCTGGGGTGGAGCAAGTCCTAGCCTGAGTGTCAAGGGGGCTGGAGAGAGTTCACCCCTGCACTCCAGGTTTGTGCTGGTGCAGACACAGCACAGCCACCCCAGTGAGCCAACTGAGCCTGGACCCCTCAGGGTGCCAGCCACTGGGCCGCCTGCCCTGGCTGGCCCTTCCTGACATCACACAGACAGAGGAACCACGAGCACCTCAGCCACAGCATCTCGGGGGGTGAGGAACCCCTGTGTTTCAGGATGGTTCAATGCGAAGCAATGGCCACAACGCAGACCAGAGATGGCATAGCACCTTGGGGGTCTGGTGGGAGAGAGAATGGAACAAGGAGATGGGGCCAGGCCAGCCAGAGACCCCCAGCCAGCCAAGGGCAGGGCCAGTCCAGGCCTCAGGGCCAAGATGGGGAACCCAGAGGCCAGCACTTCGAAGGGAGATGCAGACTCTCAGGGGACAGCAGCCCCCCAGCAGGGGTCCCAAGCACCCTGATTCAGGTCTGGCACAGGGAGAGTGACTGGGGCCCTGGGGACAAGTGTGGGGACAGGGAGGGAACAGAAGAGGAACAGGCAGGGTCAGGAAGGCCTCCGATGAAGACTAAGTCAGAGCCAGCCAGGGGCGCCAGGTACGTCCCTCTGCCGGTTGGAAGCTGGTCTGGGGAACTTGCATTTTGGGGTTGGGGCGAGAAAGGGGAAGAGGTCCCCTCTTTACGCCTGTGCTCCCAGGCACCTCCCACTAGACTCCAGTCTCATTCTGGACCTTTCTTCCCTAAACCACACTTGATCGTAATGAGCAGCTAAACTCCTCTCAGCTCACTCAGGCTGTGTGCCGGGCCCCCGGCCATACAAATCCGCTTGTTTTAACAGGTGGATCTACAAAGGCAAATCCTGCCGTGACACAGAGGGATGCAACCCCACCACCACCACCGCAACTTAGCTACTGACACTTCCTCCTCCTTCAGGAAGCCTCCAAGGGCTCCTCCCCTGACGGCACACACGGGGCCTCTGTCACCTGATGCTGCCACACTGTCCCTCCAAGTCCGGGAGCCTCTCAGCAGAAGGCCCACATCCCAGCGCTGATCAAGCTCAGTGCACACCCTTGGGGTCAACAAAGCCACAGGACCTTTTTACATGGAAACTGGGATTTTGAAATCTTACATTTTAAAATAAATATGGCTTAAATGTCCCATCTTAACCGTTGGTAGAAGTGGAGCGAGATGGCAACTTCCTGGTCCTGGCTGGGGCTGAAGGTGGGCAGTGAGGCTGTGCCATTGACCAGCCACACACCCCATGACAGCCCAGTGCCACGTGCTCTGGGTCTCATAGTTCAGAGCGGACGCCACACGTGTGGCTGACGTGTGGGCTCTGAAGCTCTGGGTCAGTCACAGCTCACAGCAAGGTTGGGGGATGGGCACTGGGTTACCAGCTGTTGTGGGGTGAACCGTGTCCCCAGAAGACAGTGCCTGTGAATGTCAACTTGTTTGGAAATAGGGTCTTTGCAGATTTTACCAAGTTCAGATGTGGCCATAACGCAGTGGGACTGGGGATGTGGCCACCAGCCCAGGGACGCCCTCAGCCACAGAGCTGAAGAGGCAGGAAGGACCCTCCCCTGGAGCCCGAGGAGGGAGCTCGGCCCTGCGACACCGCGACTGTATGTCTGGCCTCTGAACTGAAAAGGAACACGTCTCTGTTGTGTTAGCTACCAGTTTGTGGCACTTTGTGACAAAAGCCCGAGAAAAAGCCACACATCAATGTAAATTTTTTTTTAGTTTTCTTAAAAAGAAAGCTGACGAGGCTTAACAAGGCAGAAGACTATTTCCTAGGATTTTAAGTCTGACACGCGCTGTAACTTGAAGCGTCACCTCTAACACTCGTGCTCTCCGCCACCAAGAGAAACAGTCTGCATGGGAAGTAAGTGGGAGCAAGGCCTGCTCTCCAGCAGCGCGACGGTCGCTGCTTGTCTTTCTGCCTTTTTACTTTGAAACACTTTCCAGCCTCAGGAAAAGTTACAGTAGTAATTCAGAGAACTCTCATCTACCCCTTAAACCAGATCCGTGATTTTTTAACACTTTGCAACATTCTTTTACATCCAGTAACTGCTGGAATCAGTCTCCGTGAAAACAAGAGAAGGCACCCACTTCAGATGCTGCCTGAGAACCGCTGGTGATGCGGAACCTGGGCCTGGACCCCACGCGGCGGCAGAAACACGTGTCCATCACCTCTTAGGCTGGCGGCAGGCAGGGAGCACCACGGATGGACGACGGACGCAGGGGCCTGCGCTAGTGTTTGCCCGGCACAGCAGAGTCTCAGCCAGCCAGTCGGACGTCTCCAAGGCCCCGCTCTCATTTCTGCAAAGGCCTTTCAGACGGTGAACACTCGTTAGATGCCGAGTAAGTGAGGGCTGGTGGCCGGCTGCTGAGAGAATGAAGAGAGCTGTCCGAGCAGGAGGCAGACAGGGCGGCTCCTCTGACACAGGCGAGTCCAGCCTCCACCACTCGGCAACCCCCTGCCTCGGGATCATCCAGTCCTGGGCTTCCCCGTGGCATCGGTGGCATCGGTGGCATCAACGACACGGCAGTCCCAGGACCGACCAGGCTTCAGCAGTGAACAGGCCACACTGCCCCGACACCCCCACAGGGGCCAGCGGGCCCCTGACTGAGGGGCCGATGCAGCACCAGCTGGGGGCACAGGCCAGCCCAAGGGGCCCGAGACAGGGGCGGAGGATGGACACAGGAGACCAAGGTGGGGCAGACCTGGCCAGGGGCCCCGGCATGGGGGTCACGTGGACTGCTCGGAATCAGCTGGGTGCTAGCTCAGCGGGTGCTGTAGGTCCCAGGGGACAGGGTCCTAAGGGGAGAATCCCGGGGAGGGGGCCCTGAGGGAGGGTCCTGGGGGAGAGGCTTGGGGGAGGGCTTCTGGGGCAGAGGCCTTGAAGAAGGGGCCCGGGGGGAGTCCTGGGAGGCCAGGCTCGGGGCACCCTGCCCCACTCCCACGTCTGCCTGGGGAAGCCCCTTCTGCCAGGTGCGGGCTGGGACAGCCCCCAGGTGCTGTAAGAAATGAAAGGACAGACCTGGGAGCTGCCACTGACTTGGGGACTTGTGGGGAGATGTACCAGGGAGGGCTGGGGGCACACAGGGGCTCCCCAAACCCGCCCTATTGACAAGTGTCCACGGCCCACGGGGAGGGCCCCCCCGACCCAGACCCCTCCTGAGGCTTCACCGTCCCTGGCACAGAATGGGGCGGCACAGTGCTGAGGGGTGGGCACCTCTGTGTGAGGACAAAGCCCTGCAGGGTCTTGGCCAGGAAGCGAGCATCCTTCTGGAGCACATCTTGTGTGCTTGAGTCACAGGGGTGCTCCAGCTTTACTCCAGTTCTGCTCTGGGGCCCCTACCCCAAGGAGACAACCCCGACACACTGAGGATAAACAAGCCCCAACTCAGAGGAGCAGCAGTGCCGCTGACATGGGCACCGGGATGTTTATGGGAAAGAAGGGGGAAATCAGAGCAGAGAGCAGGACCGAGCGTGTGCTCAGACCCCTTCCCTTCCCAGCAAGCCCCTCACTCACAAAACTCACAGGTGAGAGGCGTGTCCACCACACGCTTGCACGGGGCAGGAGGACACCAGGGAACTAGCGCCCAGGAGGCAGAATCCAGCATCACACGAGAGACCCCACACTTCCTCTCCTTCTGGGCCCCTAACGCAGGTGGTAGGGATCACACGGTGTCTGTGCTTGACCTTCACCAACTTGAAAAGGATGTTTCAACTGAAAGGATGGCAGATCGTCCACCCCCTCAGGCCCCAGACCCCACATGGACGCTGGCTGCGTGGATGTGAACACAGTCTCACGCGGAAAACCTCAGGCTGTCGTGAGGCCGGGTACCCCCCCGGGGGCGGACAGGCGGCTCCTCCCTCGCCCCCTCCCCTGCCCT